ACGTGGGGCGATGGGTGGAGAGCATCTTTGCTTGTGGGCAGAACAAGCGCTTGAGACCTGTGATTATGGGAAGAAGCCACTCTGATCCACGAAGGTCTGGTAGAAGCCATGATAACCTCATGTGCATCACAGTGCCATCACAACCATGACATCTGCCATCCACAGTGGGACCATCCAGCCTTCCTCACTTTCTCTGGCAAGGGGGGCTGGAAGAGAAGGCGACCAAGACACCATAGGTCCATGGAGAAACTGCATCTCCCAAATCTGGGCAACTTCCTTATGGGGACCCACCAAATCTACTGAATTATGGTGTCTCTAAAATTGACCCAAGGTGGGCCTTGGCCTTCACGGGTCCAGGCCCTGGCCTTGTGCCTATGAGAACTGGAAGCCACATACTGGGACGAAAGAAGGCAGGGTTTTTTTGTTGTGGTCAAAACAGGACATCTAGATTTTTGAAAGGGTGTGATGTGTGTGCTCACAAAATGGCTGTCACAGTGAGAAGCCCCTATGGTGGGACTCAAAGCATTCCTTAAATAAATAAATGAGAGCCGATGGGGAAGGGGCTGGGCTAGGAGTGGGGAGACCCAGGCTCAAGTCCATGCTCAGCCACGGAAGCTCCATGCGGGCCGGTCCTTCTGCTTTGGACCCAGCAAGTCCTTCCCTCCTAGTCCAGCAGCGGGGAGACCCAGGTTCTGGTCCCTCCTCAGCCACCAAAACTTGTTGGGGGACTTTAGGCCAGTCCATTCCCCTCAGCCCAACCTTGAGAAACTTAGCTAGCCTCAGGATGACGCGCACCGTAACCCTTGTGTTTTTAATCCTGGAGTCCCAGGGTGGGAAGGGAGCTTGAAGGTCTTCTAGTCCAACCCGCTGCCCAGGGCAGGAATCCTCAGACCATTCTGGACAAAGGGCTGTCCAGCCTTTTCTGGAAGATCTCCAAGGATGGAGCCCCCACGTCATCAGGAGGGAGCCTGTTCCACTGCTTCGTGGCTCTCAGAGTCAGGAAATTTCTCCTTGGTCCACATATCAACCTCTCACTGGACAGCTTCCACCCGCTGGTTCTATCACTTCCTGTGTCCCTGACACTACGCTGTGTGTCTGTTGATGCAGCCCAACTATCATCCATCCATCCATCCATCCATCCATCCATCCATCCATCCATCCATCCATCCAAGCCAGTGGCTGGG